AGAGAGAGAGAGAGAGAGAGAGAGAGAGAGAGAGAGAGAGAGAGAATTGTATATCTTATTTTTAAGTCAAGTTTAAATTAAAAACGTCGTGTAACAAAATATTATTTGAGATTTATATAACAAGTTACGCTTCTGAGTACAGGAGCCTTTTAATGGATCGTGCTCGCACAATGGTAGGAAAGATGATAAGTTCGTAATGCTAACGAAATTAAAATCAACTATTTGCGTGTTAGAAATATGATGATGCATTAATGCATAAAGTGATTCAAGGTGAGAATACAACAGCATGACTTCCTGCATTCTAAAAACAGAATGAGAGTACGCGATAATTTATTCCGAGGTTTGCACGCGAAACGTTAACCGACTCGTTTCTTTGTAAGATTTAATATGACACATTACTACTGCACGATTTAATATTGCTAAATGTTACTGAACAGAAATCTGAAATCTAGTGGCAGAAAATTGTGTAGTATTTATTTGCAACGTATATTAATTAATTATTGTGGTAAGGGCGATGTGAAGTGTCAACATACAGTCAGTTACATTTGTCCAGATTAAATCACAGGTTTTACGTTTCCAAATAAATGTTTCATTGTGAATATTAAATAACATTAATTTATACAAGAAATCTTAAATGTCAATGAACAGAACAATTTCCATAATTTTCTAACACTTTTTGCCAACAATTTTTTATTGAAAAATTTTACCAAGTCGAAGACATTTTCATTACTTTCCGATCCCCCAAATATATACATAGATAAATTTTTCAATTGTACATGCTTATAACGAGAAATTTTTTTTTGGAAACATCAAAACCATAATTTTAGACAAACATCTTCCATAGTTATAGAGGGTACGAATATTTATGAGACTGACTGTATTTATCAACAGGGTTGTAAGTGATCATAAATATTAAATAAATATTGATCCTGTGGCTTCGAATGACCATAGAAACAATTATTAATACTTGTGTTTTCCATTGTATTTTCATTCTGAAGTAAAATGGCGTTCTTTCGGTGAAATGAGAGACTGCGCGCAGCTGAAATCCTCCCGCGATTTCGTCAATCGACTTTGACCCGCAGCGATCGCGACTTGACTCGATCTTGGCCCAGGCTCTCTTGTAATTACGTGTCGCAACGTGGTCTTGAAGAGGATTCAGCGTATGACACGCACGAATAATTTCGTATTTACCCAGGCATTTTCATTGGCAAACGATCGTCCGGTTTTTGGGCGCCATTTTATTTTAAAGAGGAAGCCTGCGTACGACGCTCCGAAAAGGATGCACATTTGAGATTTTTTTTTGAAAAAATGGAATATTGTTTGATAAAATGTTTAAGGGTATTCGAAAGAACGTTTCTCAGTGCAAGTGTCGCAATTTTTGTATTTAAAAATATTTTGCAACACAAAAATTACGACACGTGCACTAAGAAACCTTCCTTCGAATATCTTGAAAGTTATCATTAGATAATTTTCCGTTCGACCCCAAAAAAATTCATAAATATTCATTCGCTCATAGTTTAGCCGCGGTTATCGATCGACTCTTGCGCTGCTCAAGCACGCTTCCAAATCTTGATAAAATTTCTATCATTAAAATTCCGTCGGTGTAATCGCGAGAGGCACGTAGAGTCATCCATCTAACGTTGCAAGTAGACCACGGTGACAGTCGGTTTTTAAGCCATTTTCGAACGTTTAACCCACTTCGCTGCAATTTACTTTGCATGCATCGAGACGAAGGAGACGTAATACTGTGTGATAAACGATCTTTGTCGGCGTGGGGACGATTTCGGTGGAGAAACAGTGCTTTCTTCGAAACCCTCTGATTTTTTCACTTTTTTTTCTTCACCTTGCTAGATATCTTTTGGGGAATTTTTGCAGATTTTTGTACTGAATAAAAAAAAAGTTGTGAATTTTTAAGAATAAGACGTTTTTTCTTTAGATAGCTATAGCTCTGTCAAAAATTGACCAAATTAGACGTTTCTTGTTTCAAAATGTGAGAGTTTTGAATGAACTTTGCGAAAAAAAATACAAATCAAAATATTTGAATTTGTCTTCTATATAATTCTTTGATTTTTCAGTAAAAAGAGATTTTTCAAATTTCGACACTTAATTCTTTTTTTTTTCATTTCCCTCCCAAAAAACTTTGATTTTTCCCCACTTTATGACGCAAGTCATGGGCCGAATTTCTTTCTATTTTTTTTAATTGAAAATAATTTTTCCTCATCTTCTCGCAATTTAACTTCCCTCTTACAATTAAAGAATCAACCAAAAATAAATCCTTCGATCGTATTCAGCTCACAAAAAGAAGAAAGCACAATTACTATCACCAAATTACCACTGCAACCATATCCATGTACAAGCTCATTCATGTACACATTTATAAAAATTCTATTATTGTATTTACTCAAACCTCTTCGATAACACTCTAGATGAATATTTCTAGAACGAAGGAAAAATATATAGAAAAGGTTCGACAAATTCTTCGACTATTTCTAAATTCAGATCGTCTCGCATGGATAAAAAGATTGACGACGTCAGTCCCGAAAAAGCTCCCGTTCGCGGCGAAGGAGTCTGGGTCTAGGACGCGCGTCGGTTTCCGTTGGCCGAGTATCGAGAGAGGGAAGTTTCGCAACCGGCGGTCGGCCAAATTCGGGTATTCTTCAGGGCAGAGGGTCGCGGATCGTCCGGGAGTAGGACGACGCAGGTGGACGACCGCGGGAGTAACGGAGAAGCAAACACAATCGAAAGGATAGAGGCCTGCCGCCACGAACGAGGAGGGGGCGGAGAGCGGAGGAGAAGAAAATCGTCTCACAGCTGAATTACTCTCACTCGAGAGGCCCCCGTCTCTTCTTCGTGGGGGCCCCAAGTATCCCCCTGCTTCCCGTGGAGGTATAAAGGACCCTGGTCTACCTTCCACGGAGTCACAGAACCGAGCGGCATCGCAGAAGCCGACATGAATCCTCTGATCGCGGTAAGCACGCTAAATTCTCCTAATCATTACACGTAACCGATAGAGAGCGAGAAAGAAAGAGCCGTAGAGGGAGGGAGAGAGAGAGAGAGAGAGAGAGAGAGAGAGAGAAGAAAGAAAGAGAGAGAGAGAGAGAGCGTTAGTGAGTGTGGGAGGAGGCGAGAGACTCGGTGTTACAAGTGTAGAAATTTCCAAAGTGAGATTAGACGTTTCAGTGGTTGGGTGTCCTCGATGAGTTCGACCGTGCAAATTCGTAAGTGTACCCCGAATCGTACTTCTTTTCGAAGGGCCATCTCCGGAGGCGTCGATAATAATAATAATAATACCGATAATAATTGTAACGGTACGTTGAGCAAGTGTCTACGAATCTTTCTAACCGGAAGCCTCAACGTTTGGATCACGCGCCGGACTCTGTATGCTTCATTTTTCGGTTCGTAATTTTCTCTTAACGACAGGCTCGAACCGCCACTTTCCCTTTCGGCCGTGGCTTCTCTTCGAGTACTCTTTTTCTCGCTAGTTTCCACCGTGACCACCGCGGTTCCTGGGATCCTTTTTCGTTTCTTCGTCGACACGCAGAATCTCACGTCCCTCGAATCGGGTCCCTTGGGGCGAAACTTTCTAGAAGAAATTCCGTGAGATGATTCAGTGACCCAAACGAGGCCGCCTGATTGCGGTCGAATTATATGACTATGGGATTATTTCTCGAATGGGAGGTCTGTCACAATTTCGCAGTTTTTTTTTTTTTACTTCGTTCTATCATTAACAACTTCACCGTGCAATTTGGTTTTCGTTATGTCATGTTGTGTTTAGCACGACTATCTGTTCACGGTTAACGATGTCTTTGGTCCGATGTTGGTTGAGGATTGTCGGATAGTGGTTTGCGAGTCCTCTACTTGTTTTTAAAAAATATAATATGTTTAACAGGTATGCGTTTGCTTTGATAGTGTCGAAGTTGAAAGTTGACACGTATCTTCTCGTTTTTCACAGTCGATACTTTCAAGATCATATAAAAATAGTCCTTTTTCGAAAACGTAATAGGTCCTTGATGTGTAAAAATAAAATAGTAAACAGTGAACAAAACGGAGTATTCAAACTTTCATGACTTTCTAATGATGCACTCTTGAGACAAGAAACATGAGAGGTGGGTAGAATTTTTTCAACTATTATACCAAGTGTCATGATTCTTTGGTACTTCACCTATGAAATACAAAATAGTCCTGCATATACGTGAAATTTGTTAGAATGATTTTTGCGAGGAGACACTGATACCATTATTGTCTGACATACACAGAATATTATGTAATAGCCTCCCTCAAATTCACCTTACGACACAAAGCAAAACATGGATAATTAAATTCAAATACACATGCAGAACGGTATGTAAGCTCTTCTCAAAGCACCGGTAAATAACAAAAACAATTCTTTTCCTTACTGAAATTCAATACTAAATAAAGGGTTGAAACTAACAGTTCTTGAAAACAATTTGTTTCATTGGCGAAATTCACTGCTAAATAAACGGATGAAACTAACAGAACAGTTCAGCTCTTCTCAAAACATCGATAAATAACAAAAACAATTCTTCTCCTTGGTGAAATTCATTATTAAATAAAGGGTTGAAACTAACAGTTTTTGAAAACAATTTGTTTCCTTGGTGAAATTCAACGCTAAATAAACGGATGAAACTAACAGAACAGTTCAGCTCTTCTCAAAGCATCGATAAATAATAAAAACAATTCTTCTCCTTGGTGAAATTCATTACTAAATAAAGGGTTGAAACTAACAGTTCTTGAAAACAATTTGTTTCCTTGGTGAAATTCAATACTAAATAAAGGGTTGAAACTAAACCTACAATATATAATCTCAGCTCTTCTCGAAAGCACCGATGAATAATACCAACCAATCACAATAAAAGCAATTATTTTGGTGAATGTCAACCCTAAGCAAAGTGCCAAAACTAACAGATATCGAAATCTGATGATTGCAGTGCATGATAGTCGGCCTGGCAGGGTTCGCCGTGGCGGAGCCGCCAGTGTCGTCCGGGTACAGCTACAACAGGCCAACTGGAGGCGGCGGTGGATACTCCGGCGGCGGTGGCGGTGGTGGTGGCTACTCCCTCGGAGGCGGTGGCGGTGGAGGCTACACCCAGGTGTCCACTGGCTACCAGACCAACGAGGGTGCGTCCGTCGACGGTGCCCTGCTCGAGCAGATCCGCCAGATTTTACTGAAGGAGGAGTTGAACTCTCAGCAAACCGGAGGATTCGGAGGCGGAGGCGGCGGATACGCGCCTAGCTCCAGCTACGGTGCTCCGTCCAGTCAGTACGGTGTTCCTAGCTCGGCTTACGGTGCTCCTAGTTACCAAACCCGCGTGGTGGGCATCGATCTCGAAGGAATCAGGCAGGCCATCCAGGTGGCGCAGTTCAACCAGGTCAGCCAAGGACCTGGCGGCTACCCGAGCGGACCTAGCGGAAGCTACGGAGCACCGAGCAGACCGAGCGGTAGCTACGGCGCGCCGTACTAGGATCTTGAAGATGATGATGAGCTTGGATGATGGGAGAGCGAGCGAGGGAGAAAATGAGTGAGAACGAGTGGACACCAGTCGACCATCGCGACGGCCTTCCGAGCTAAGGAACATTTTACCAAAAGAGTAAAATGATCTCTCGTTCTGAAGGATAAGACAGCGAGGACCGGCCAGGGCGAACTGGAGGACCGAAGACAACGTTTCCAACTCGCGAATTCGCTTCTCTCGAGCGAACATTCCTCTGGTCCGACCATCCCTCTCGGAAGGTCGTCGCACGAAGAGCGGATCGTCGAGCACGATGAAACGAACGGCACAGGAGGTCGCCGTTCAAACGCGTCGGGGTTCACGGACGAAGAGGATGAAGAGATATCAAGGTGCGCGCGCGTGGCCAACAACCGGCGAGGATTCCCGGGCTCCTGTCTCGTTGAAATCAAATCGTCGTCACTTCAACGGGCCCAGAGCCCCCCCGGGATCGCGGGATGTGCGCGTCGAAGGTAAAACCGGGCTCCAGTGGGCCGCCGTCTCGTTGGGGATTAAAAGGTCGTCGCTCCAACGGGCTCGGGGCTCAGGAGTGAACTTGAACGTCCGCGAAACTTGAAATCCTTTGAGAAGTCTTGCTTGATGCCTGGTGTCCACTCGAGAGAGTCATCCTCGAGAATCGGTATCGCGAATCCTTCGCGCGAGAAGGACCTTCGAGTTAATTCCTTGGTAAACCTTGCTCCCCACGCTGCACCCTCGACGGGTGACGGCGTTCAGCCTCAGAAACGAGTGATATTCTTTTAATTTAAATTTAACGTAGTCCAGTTCTCGTAATAGGTTCCGATGAATAGGTATTGAAAGGAGGCGAAGCAAAGTCTCTCGAGTGGACACCAGGCATAAACGATCGAAGCGTCGAGCATGGTGTCGCGTTCTGTCGTACCAAAATCATTCGTCGTCGCGGTCGCAGCCGCGAGGGAACCAGTGATAAGCTTAAAACTAAACGCGCGCAAAAAGGGACCCCCGCG